CCACGGTCGGACAGGCTGGCTGCTTGGAGTTTTCCGGGTTTTCTCCTTGCCTATAACGACTGAATAGGAGGCCAGTTCCCCATAAAAGTCCTCCCGGAAGGCATTTATTTCCCGCGCGTACGTATGGCTGTTCGATACAGCCGGCTAATCGGTCGCCTAGCGATCATACACATACACAAGTCTACTCGGAGAAAGAGCCTACATTGAGCTAAAATCTCCATATAAACACCATCGAAGCAGAAGAAGAAGAGCCGGAACTTTATTTAAAAGCTTAACTGAACCAATCCCTAGCCGAGTACAGTGGGGACTGATTTGTTCGTAATATTAAATGTAATAAAGACAGAATTTTTCCAGTTTAATGAGAGTGACTGAAAAGTTGTAAATTTTGGAAATTTCCGTGGACACCACCTGGTCGTAAAACGAATTAGTTAGAAAACAAATGACGGACAATTTATTAACATTAGTAAATAATACAATATAAAATAAATATTGAAAATTATAACAAGATAGTTAAGGCTAATAGATATAGTACTTACGGGTTAAGAGGACGCCAGTCGGAAATAGCGATCAAAGTCGCGATTTTGAACGAAAATATCAAAATAACAATAGATTAGTAAATTTAAATCTAAAAAGAAGAAAATTTACTGATAAGGTTGTAAAAATAAAAAAAATCAATTAGGATGATTATAGATATCACCTGTTTGCCATATTTTCCATATACACTACAAAACAATTTGCATATTCAAGTGGTTTATTATTAGAATTTGTGAAATTTTGTTATATCTTTATAAATCGTAATTTATTGTTTGATTTAACGATTGTATTAAATTTGACAAATAAACAATTGCATTATTCGGAAAATACACTATTTTCGACTGGCGTCCTCTTAACCCATAAGTACCATAGATATATAGTAATGTATGATGTCTTTTTTAATAGTCTGCGGGTGCCGCTGTTTTTAAATGTCTTTTAATCCAGTCGTAGGAATCTGGCAACTCTACTGATTGTTATTTTATTTTTTAGCTTTTTATTCGGCAGGCAAAAAAGCTCTTCTCATGCCCATCATCGGTTCGATCAGACTCTCAATCGGATGATCGGATGAAGTGAATTGAAAATCGA